CCGCTGCAGCAGTTTCACTGCTGTTAAAGTGAAACTGTGAAAGTGTCAAACTGCTGTTTGGCAGTGGTTAAATCCTTATATACAACCTCATTTTGTACAGATATGTGATTTGTAACTCGGATAAAACAGGTGGTGTGTAGTTTCATTTTCTTCCTCTTTCAAGGGTAATATTTACTCCCTTGCAATAGCACTGCATTATACAGTACAGCTGCATAACACTCAATGTTAGGTATATTTTAGCATTAACAATGTCTCCATTAAATGTGTTGTGAGTAAGTAACCACACAGGAACAGCTTTGGTCTGCGTTTTATCCCAAATCTGCACAAAAACTACTCTGTGGTGTGTCACGCATCCTTCTTAGTCATGCCAAACACCAGATGCTGTGTGCAGAATAGTTCCTATATAAAAAAAAAACACAAAACATCACAGCGAATATATTTATGAAATCACAAGCTATTAATTCAATGATTTGAGTTTAATTTTAGGAGTTTAAATAGACTTTTAAAATAGACGAGTATAGCGCGCTCAGTGAAACTTGACCACGTATTCCTTTTTTACTCTCACTAAATCAAAAATCACATATCTGACCTTTGACTGTGGCACATCAAATGTTTTAATGTCAGGGGTTTTCCTGCTCAGAGTGGGGCTGTTGTGAGCTGATTATTCTTATAACACAAATGGTCCACATGTAGTTCAGGCAAGGAGTCTGTGTTTGCTTACTTAACAGAATTGTGTGGTGCCTGATATCGGGCATGCTTTTAAGCTTGTATCTGAATTGTCGTGTCTGAGTTTCACATTCTTTTAGGGAGTTTCTGTCTTCTTACATGTCAGGTATTGATTATTGTGTTTTGGTGTAGAGTTTTGTGTGGTTTTATCTTCTGTCACTTCTGTGGTTTCAGTATTGTAGTAGTGCATTTCCATGTTGGGACATCATTGCCTCATGGTTTTGAGACTCCTTAATGGTCCTTTGTTTTTATCACTGTGATTTTCTTGTCTGTGTATTTTCTCTTGTTCTTTCCGGTTTTACTTGGATCTTTACAGCTGCTTGTGCCTTGAGTTTTACTTCTCCCTCGTGATTGTCTTGATTATGTACATTATGTCCCTTTCAGTTATCACTTCCTTAGTCAGCCCTCTCTACCCCTCTTTACTTTGTTGGTTTTCTGTTGTTCCTCGAATGCTCCTTGTGTATGTGTACTATATTCCTGTGCATGGGTTGTTTGTGTCATTGTTAAACCTTTGCATTCTTTCTCCTTTTGTTTTGTCTTATAAACTTTGTTTTTTTTTTAACTTTAAATTAAGTTCACTTTTTGTTTTGTCACTCTATATCCTGAAGCCTTTACTATGACACAAGTTCAGCATATCCAGGGTATTGTTCTGGATTAATTTCTGGATCAATTTACCCTAACACTGGACGTCGGGATAAGCAGTCACGCAATCCTACACTGTGTTGGACAGGAAAGGGGTGACAGTGGCAGCATCTGCATACAGAGGTCTGAGGGATCTTCCAGAAAATGGTGACACTATTTTCCAGGGAACTGATTGGTCAGTAGACAATCATCTGGTCTGCATTTTTAACTGATTTGCGAAACATAGTTTTAAATACATTTTTGTTTAGCTAAGTAAATGATAAAGTAAATGTCACTTGAATAAGAGGTTAGAAATATTGTAATCCCATTGTGATTGTCCCTTAGTGTTTTTTAATGCAAGAGAGACTCTCGATAAAGTTTCTATCTATAAATATGCCTACATATGTTTGCCACTGTAAACAATTTGTTCAATTGAACAGACAATCATTTGCCTGGTTGAATGATATGTGACCTCTGTGACCTCTCATTCCTCTGCATACTACCACTCTGGTACACCACATTTTCTGGAGACTCGGGTAAAGAGAGGGGCTGAGCTCTCAACTCACCACCTGGTGGTGAGTTGGATCAGGTGGCAGAGGAGGATACTGGACAGACCTGGTGCACCTAAATGTATAGTGAGGGTGTGCTGTGAACAAGTGGCAGAGGCCCCGGTCCACAGGATCTTCAACGCACACCTCATTCATACTTCCAATAGGTGGTGGTAATGCACCCGCCCAAAAGGCAGAAAGAGAACGTGAGCTGTGTTTTTAAGGGGTGTCCAAATTCATAGGTTGCATCCTCCTGAGGACCCGGCGTTACGGTCTACGTGGGCCGGGTTGTTCAAAGGCCGGGTAGGCTGGAAGTGAGCAGCTGTGAAACTGGACAGTCTAGCCTTCAGTTTTGCGTCACCAGCTGTCTCGGTGGAGTTTAATAAACTCTAAGGCTATCCCTCAAAACATTCTATGTACAGCATATAATCTTTTTCAAAACCCTGACTATAGACCCCCTGGCCTCCCTGAACTCTTAGTAAATGGGCACAACATTACAAAACTCCAACATTAGGGGATTATTTACTAATGCTTTTTTTCCCATATAGATCCAATCCAAACTCCATCTCACATCTGTTCTCCTGTGATTAAAAGAAAAAGATCTTTAAAAAGAATGTTAAAATCTAGCACATTAAGTCTTCCATTGGCATAAGAGTTCAAAAAGAACTGTTTTTTAATGTAGTGTGTCCTATTTTTCCAAATAAAGTTGAAGAGTAACTTATCAATACTCTTTTATGAGTTTATTATCGAGGTGCAATGCCAATGCTGCGTATGTAAGACGAGAGATGCTTTCTGCTTTCTACCTTTTAATGATAAATCTCTTAAGAGTCACTGAGTAAATCTGTTTTTGAGTTTCTCGAGAATAGGATAGAAATTTTGAGTAATTCTTCTTTCCTGGTTTTTGGTTATTATAATACCTAAATAGCGAACTTCTTGCTTTATTGGAATGTTACACAAAGCTGTTTTCAAACATTCTTTTATTGCTATAAGTTCACATTTAGGAATATTCAAGTAAAGTCCAGAAGCTTTGGGAAACGTGGAGATTGTTTCAATAGCAATAGATATTTGATGTTCATCTTTTAGGAATAATGTGGTGTCATCCGCTAACTGTGTTATGAGTAAATCTTTGTCAATTAGCAATATACCTTCTACATTGCTTGACTTCATATGACTAGACAACAGTTGGGCAATTAACAAAAAAAGGTATGGAGAAATGGGACAGCCTTGTCTTATCCCTCTTTCTATGTTAAATCTGGGTGAAGTACCATTTGTTAATTTAATACTGCTGTTACTGTTATTGTATAATCACTGAAGAGAAATAAGTACCAAAACCGTATTTATCTTGAGCTTGAAATATAAATTCATGCTCTACTGTATTGAAGGCCTTGTGGAATTCTAAAAATAATATGAATCCATTGCTATTTATTAGGTCAGAATAATCCAGAATATCTAAAACCAATCTGATATTGTTAGTTATGTGTCTTTTGGGCATAAAGCCAGATTGTGTTTCATCAATAACCGAGTCAAGAACCATCTTAAGTCTATTAGCTAAAATTAGAGCAAATGCTTTATAATCGTTATTTAATAAGCTAATTGGTCTCCAACAGAGATGGGCAGTAGCGCGGTACTTGTAACGCGTTACTGTAATCCGATTACTTTTTTCAAGTAACGAGTAAAGTAAGGGATTACTATTGCAAAAACGGTAATTGGATTACCGTTACTTTCCCGTAGGAACGCTGCGTTACTGCGTTACTAAAACCATGATTTTTTGCGAGAATGTCTCATGACAGTGACGTAAGCAAGTG